CTCTCTCTTTCTCTCTCTCTCTCTCTCTCTCTCTCGCTCTCTCTCTCAGATATGCGGATGCATATCCCCATCGAAGTGGGACGAATTTTTTAATCGTTTCGTGTGTTTGAGGAAGAATTTCGGAAAGAGTGCTGTAGCCTACAAAGTATGTTTTCAACAAAAAAATCCTGGAAATCAGTCGCTGCCAAGAACAACACAATCAAAGACGAGTCGAAACACTACCCAACGGAGTGGCAGTACTTGAGACAAACAAGTAGAGCAACTGCTGTTACATATTTTCAGTAATCAAAAGTACAGTCGTTCCCCTTTTCCGTTAATTCAAACTGGAACTCTCTAGCATAATAATTTCCCGAGCGAATGCTTTTTTTTAGCTGGTAACCACAACACTGAGCACAGTCTGGTGGCCTTTTTTGGTCGATGATAGCAGAAAGAGAAACAAATAGAATTGAAATATTTTTAATCTTGATAGTCATCACTGGCAGCCATTTTAATGTAATGTCATTCACCCAAAAATCAAGGAAAATGAAATTTTAACAGGTAAGATATAAAGTAGCCTACATCATGCACTTGTTAACTGAACATCATAAAATTTGGTTCAAAATTGTGCCAAATAGAAAAAAAACTTGCTTTACTTTTTGACTCCCCTTTGTATGTTTTGCCAGCAAGCAAGATTTAATTAAGATAGGTATAAGTTTTTATAAAAAATTTGTCATTGTTTTTTTGCAGTAATGTCATAAGATATCAGAATAGAGATTCCCTTACTGGCATCTGTGGTTTAGCAGTTCTATGCCCATGAGGAAAGAAATTTCATCAAGTGTCTCAGTCTTTCTGCCAGGGCTTTGTGTCCCTCTTGGCACTGACAGGCAGGGTCATTGATGGAATGGTGAAAAATATCTACATTTTCATTTAAACGGAAAAAAAAAGAAGGGATTCCCTTTTGGTAACTCTATTCTATAGGCTACCTGAAACCTAGATTTTGTCCTAAACTTTTATCTTCCTACCTGGCTGTGTGTAAGGACACTTCCACACCTGCAACTAAAGTTCTATTTTCCATTTTAAAGTAAAAGTGTGCCTTCCTGTTCTATTTTTACTCATCAAACTTTTCACTTCTTGTGGGTGACATCATACACCAGCTTGGAAGAGGAAATTTTAGCACAATTTCACTTTCTTTGGTTCCATTTGACAGGACTTGAAGCTGGCAGTGTCGTGATTACAGAGGAGGCTGTTGATGGACTGCTCAGGCCCTACATGGAAGTTGTAAGACCTTTCTTTCAAGGGGGGTAGGGGG